TTTGAAAAAGTTAATAGATATCTTAAAGATAAATCCATATTGACGTTTCTTTCGATCATTAAGTGAAGTTTCTGATTTTGATTCATGATGTATCGTACTGAGGTCTGATCTGGGTCTCGACCAGAGAGTATATAACATGCCATCATATGAACAGGTGGCTGCAGTGTGGGTTGATGATAATCCATCTGCAAGCATAAAGACTCATGATATATTAATTTATGGACATTCCAATACTGCACATAGAGTAAATTATTATTATGGCTGTTATGATCCACTTCAATATCCATTAATATTTACCTATGGAGAACCTGGATGGTATGAAGGTATCAAAAAGGTAAATTTGAATACTTCAATAGTCCATGAAGATTTCATACAAATCAATCAAATTGATTCAGCCGAACAACTTATAGAGATGGAAGATTGTGGTAAGTTTTATTACCATTGAAATTTTTTAATATTTTTAGAGTGCATAAATGTATTGTCATTTCTAGATCTGTGTTTGTGACTTTAATTTTTTTTTTCCTTTCAGCTATGAAGAGAGGTAAGAAACGAATTACTGTGTCATGCCGTGAATATTATTGCTACAAATTTCAAATCAGACTTTCAGATAAGTCTGTACTCCTTCATACAGGCAGACTTCTACAACAATATATAGTGGATATGTATGTTAAGATTGAAACTGTGAGATTAGATTATTTTCGTAATAATCAAAAGACTATATGAGGTGAACTTTACCAAAGAATTTTAGATAGTATATAAAATGGTGAGAATAGAGGCTATAAAATTGGTAAATCAATTGTGTTGCCTACAGGATTTATTGGGGGTCCTAGAAATTTAACTAAAAAATATATGGATGCAATGAGTTTAGTTCAAAAATATGAAAAACCTGATGTATTTTTAGTAATGACATGCAATCCAAATTGGTCTGAAATTAAATAAGAATTGAGACACAATAATAGTGTATAAAATAGGCCAGATTTGTTAGCCCCAATATTTCGAGTAAAACTTGAAGAACTAAAAACAGATTTAATAAAGAGAGAAATTCTTGGGCCTATAGCTGCCTATGTGTATGTAATTGAATTCCAAAAAAGAGGTCTACCTCATATTCATTTTCTCCTGATATTTAAAACGAATTTTAAGATTACTAATTTTACGCAAGTTGACAAAATTTTTTCTTGTGAATTACCAAATCCAAAGGGAAATCCTCACATGCATGCTACTGTGGTCAAACATATGATGCATGGTCCTTGTGGATAATTAAATCCTACAAATGTGTGCATGAAAAATAACCGTACTTGTAAAAACAAGTATCCAAGAGAATACATTTTGCATACTTCATTAGGTAGTGATTTATATCCATTTTATAGGCGTCGTGACGATGGTGTTACTGTTAAGGTCAGAGGATCTGTACTAGATAATAGATGGGTTGTACCATACAATCCTTGTATTTTAGCTAAGTATGATTGTCACATTAATATTGAAATATGTTCTTCTGTTAACGCAGTCAAATATTTATACAAATATGTATACAAAAGACATAATCGTGTTAATTTTATGGTGAATAAAGAAACTAATGAGCATTATGTTGATAAGATTTCGAATTATCAAACCGCTAGATGGATATCTGCACCGAAAGCTATATGGAGAATTTTTAGTTTTGATTTATTCGACATATCTCCTTCTGTAGTTTCTTTGCAGTTACATATTGAAGATGCTCAGTTGGTTACATATAATGAAACAGATGATCTATCAGAAGTTATAAATAAATACTCCATTCAACGAACAATGTTAACTGAATTTTTTAGAATGAATATTTCAAATGAAAAGGCACGAACTTTACTTTATAAGGATTTTCCTACATACTTTGTATGGAATACATATTTTCGAGTTTGGAGTCCTAGAAAGAAGCAAAATGTTATTGGTAGAATAGTTGCTGCTAATCCATCTGAGGGCGAGAGATACTTTCTAA